GAGAGAGAGAGAGAGAGAGAGAGAGAGAATAGCAGTTCTCAACATCTTCCTTTTCGATAAATCTTTCCTAGTTATTATATTTCATAGTTATTATTTATTTTAGTAAGCTATAAATTCCAATAATATTGCAAAAAATATCGTATTATTAATTATAATTAAAAAATATTAATTAAAAAATATTAATAATTATAATTAAAAAATGATAGAGAAAATATAAAGAAAATTAAATCTGTATCCATCCACATGATGAATTAGTTATGACTCAAAATTATTTTATTTTTTTCTTTAAGTTCGCCTGTTTGCGATTTTAATTCAAAGTAAAGGCGAACTCTTGCATACAACTTTATAAAATATGTTTTTGGGAAATCTTTACATGAGCACAGACAACAGTGTTTAAAAAAGTTATAGAAACAAGAACAGATTCATGAACAGATTCATTCAAAATATATACGTAAATAATATACGTAAATGATTAAAAAAATATTATCTAAATTTTCAACATAGGTTATAAGTATTTGATTTGGAACGTATAATCCGCCATACATACTGTCTTCAGTAGATTTTATTGCTCTAAATGTATAATATCTATTATAATTAAAATTGTCAATATCTTTGGCAAAATTTTCACATATATCGCAGGAATGTTTCTTCAAATTCTTTGACATAAGATAACCACAAATATAATAAAATGCATTTTCCTTTAATTATATCTTTGTTTGATAATCATAGTCATCAATTTGAACAAGTATTGTTTTTTGCAGTGATGTTTTGTACAAAAGTATTGAAATTGTGTTATTTTCACCATATAGTCACCATATTTATTTCCGAGTCCTCAACATCTAAAGTACAATTTCCTGTCTGAACAATGCTTAGTAGCAAATGATTTTTTAAAAGAGTAATAAAATTGCACTATAATTGGATTGAATTAATTATCTGATAAATTTCTAATCTCTCCAAATGTATGTTCGACTATATCTTGATTGATACGTCTCGTTAATAAAAATTGAAATCCTGAATTAATTTCCTGTAAATATTCTCACATTTGATTTAAGCTGTTTATATTTTGATCCAGCATCTGAATACATTAATTTTTTGTCGAGATTATTTCCTTGAGTTTTCATGAAATTAGTTACCGGTTTTGGTTAAAATTTATAAAGAAATTTTGGAAATCGTCATAAGTAATATTATCTATATTTTTTTCATTATTATATTTAATTTTGCTCTTTTTTCTGCAGCTTCACATTTTCTTCTGAAAGTTTCTTTTCTTGAAGTAGAATTGGATAATTTTAATTCGAATTTGAATTGCTTTATCATCTTTAGAATTTAATAAATTAAAATCTTTAGTTGAATCTGCTTAAATCAACATCTAAAATTATAAATAAAAATTGAAAAATGTTCAAAACAAATCAAATCAAATCCATAATTATCAAACTTCTTTGTTGTAAAAAATATTTTACCTATCAAATCAATTGTTGAACAACTGGCTTTAACACTGTATACTTCTGCTTGTAAATTTGTTATAAAACTTGAAGTGTTTACTGTTGAAATGTTTATTAAAATAAGTTTTTTATAAATAATTTAATAAATAATAATATGTTGAC